GTCTCCTGCCGACCCTTAACAGATTTTCGACTCAGTAACCTAATCTAACTTAGCAAAAATGACCATACAACGCGTGCCGCAAGTTGCCGCAGCCAAATTTGCGAAATTCCATCGCGTAACACTTTAAACTAAAGATTGGTACTTGAAACTACACGAGATATTACGGGATCTTTAACTTTTGCCACCGTTGAATATAGATCTAATTCACAAAATCCACAATTTATGGACACCAATTGTTTATCTTTAAATTAAATACATGCTAAGCTTAAATAAATAAAAAATTAAAACAGAAATATTCTACATACCTCCAGGAACACCCTCCATTCCGCAGTTGCAATCAAATAACACTCCTGTCGAAAGTTACACTTGTTCGACCGAAAATCGCTTGTATTTATACGCAGCGAGTGCTACTCTCTCGAAGGGCAATTTCATACTGAGATAGAAAATTAGATATGGAAGATAGTCTCTTTTTTTTTGCCATTACATGCACGGAGATGTTTCCTATAAGGCTGTATAGTTATAAATCTAAAATAATAAATTTGATTTTCCGACTTTTGGCCACGTTTTCGGGATTTCCGCCCACTGTGCGCCGCGGGGTATCGGGTTACACACAAGTATTGGATTTCGCGAGGGGGAGTCGGGGGAGTGATCGCGGGGGGATACCGCGTTTTCAGGCATCGCGGTGGAAGGGGCACCGCGTTTTCGGGCACGATTATCACACACACGCACACAAACTCATTTAGAATCGGCCTATCTTACCTACTGTCGTTTTAAGAAAAACGATTTCCGGGTAACCAGCTAGTAATAAGATATAATAAATACATACCTAGATGGTAAAATTGAAATTGTACATAAGGATGGAGGCATAAATTGGCGGAAGCGATAATGGCCGCGTCGCACTCTCCGGACCGAATCAACTCGTAAGCTTTCACTATAGCAACGTTACTTGAACTACATGCAGTATCAATATTATGCGACTGTCCAATAACACCGAGCCAGTAAGAAATTTTGTTTGCCATGAGAGAAACGTTGGATTCAGTCATAAGTAATCCAGCAAACTAATCACAATACATATTTCTAAATATATTTAAAGTATTAAAATGTACAAATAATAAGTTAAAAGTTTATTTTTAAAACTGCTTAAAAATTTATTGTATATAATTTATCTATACTTCTTATACAGTAAGGAAACAGATTTTTATCTTTGAAACAAGAATTTTACACAGTTATCATTTCTTTAAATTTTGATTATGTGTTTTATATATTAATTAAATATATCATACCTGAGCTTTAAAAATAAAATCCCCTTGAGTCTCAGACAAAGAAATTGCTGTAAGAACATTCGTTCTTGTTCCCCGTAATTCCTCTGGGTTTACACCCGCATCGATAATTGCTTCATAAGTATGCTCGAGTAACATTCTAATCATAGGACACATTATCTGAGCTTCTGTTGCGGGTATATTAAAAAATTCTGAATCGAATTTCTCGATATTGTTGACTTTACCAATTCGATGGGGCATATTATAAGCTATATAAAAAATAAATATATTAAAAAGTAACAAGTAAAAGAAGGCTTTGACAGTACAATGCGGTTGACAAAGCGTACGTTAACGTAAGTTAACGTTATAATAACTAATATATAATTATACATCGGACATTTCAAAAGGCTTTGTTTTGAATAGTCAGATCTTCAGCGGTGACAACTGAATCAAAATAATCTTACTCTCTCCAACGAGAAATAATTTCAAAATTTGATGGTCTAAAAGTAGTATAATCTGCGAGAAAATTTAAGTAAAACTTAAAGCACAAAGACTCTCGTATTGTAACGTAGCGTAACGTAACATGGATCAACGCACAAGAAACGTATCAATTACGGCGTTGTACGTTTCTTGTGCACTGACTCACGTTATGTTACGTTATACCTTACCAGACGAGAGTCTTGTGCGAAGGCTCGTAGCCTATCTCTATAATATAATAGTTTATAACATAATCGAAATAGAAATTACAGTCAGAACTTCAACGACAAGAGAAGTAAATTAAATCACCCATCAGTTCATAAAATGCGAAAATGAGGTCATATTTTATAAGAATACTTATATAACACTGGAGAACACGGATTTTTTGTCGGGCCAATGGCCACTGATTCTGATAGATTTTTTTCGAAAAGATGATATCTCTAGGAGTTAGATTTTTTTTTTAAATAATGAATTGACTCTATTTCTTAAGAAATACGGTGCTCCCGTTGTTTTTCTACAGATGTTCAAAAATGACCAAAAACTGTTTTTTGGCACTTTTGACTCCGTTTATTTAAAAAACCGCAGCCAATTTAGTATTTTCAAGGCCAGATTCTTGTTCAGCGAAACCAAATTAGTAAAAAATATCTATTCCCTTAAAAACAATTTGAAAACGATAAGATTTTGTTGACCAGTGTAATATATATACTTATTTCTATATAAACAATAATAATGTTTTTAAGGATTTATAATATGCATCTGGATCGTTTTCAATTATGATATTAGAAATAACAAAACCATGAAAATGTTGTGTGTACGTATATGTAGAGTTACACAATTTTCTTGGATTCAGATATCGTTTTTAAAAATTATTGGATTAGATATTGCAAATCTTTATTTACGATTAATATATACAATAATATAAAACGATTAATATATATTCCACTTTTAAAAAAGGCGTGTTAACTGAATGAATTTCGTTTGTATCGAAAAATTGAAGCCTCTTTTCCGCGATGCCGATTGGTTATCTCGATTGATTGCCGCGCCGTAGCTTGCTTCATCCCGTGAGGGACTGTCATCGCGGAGTGTGGCGAGTTTCGTGCGTGTAGTGCGTCGTGTGTGTCATGATGTGACAGCTCGCGTCGTGTCGCGAGGTTAATCGTCCCGCGTCGTGTCGCGATTATTATATAATAGCATAATGTTAAAGCTAAATAGCGCGCGCGAAGCGCGCGTCTGTAGTGTCTAGTCCTCTTCTAAAAAGGAGATGTGAAGTTTATTGTTGTCGCTTTTCCGCGATGCCGATTGGTTCTCTTGCTGCGCTTACTTCATTTGCAGCTGTCATTGTATATTTTGACAGTTGTGTGTATCAAGGGTTAATAGTGTAATAGTAATAGCATAATGTTAAAGTTAAATAGCGTCTAGTAATATAAAACGAATATTTTTCCTAATAAGTTTTGAAAATATAACTTAAGGAGGTTGGTTGCCGTCACACTGCGGGGCAAGCAGCGAGAGAGGACGATTGCCAACTATCAAATTCTTCGACGCGTGAAATTAATGAGTTTAGCAAATAAATATGTGGAATGCATTTAATTAGCTGTTTCTTAAGGTTTTAAATTATTGATTGTACAATTTAAATCAAAATACGTTAAAATGTGGCAAAATGCTGTTTTATTTTTACAATTTCTTGATAACTATCAGTCTTCGTAAAAGTCTTTCTTAAATATGTAAAGAATTATTTGCATCTATTCTCATTAAATTCTTGTCATTTTAATAGGCTTTCGAGAGTTACATTACAGGTGTCGTAACATTTTTGCTATGTCGTGTATAAGAGAGAGATGAAAGTTTATCTTCAATAATTAATTACTCGACAACCATGCAGACAATTGTTTTCAACTTTGGCATGAACGACAGATTCCCATATAGACGAATATCCTTCATAAATTTGAACTAATTCTTATCATATTGATTTGAACAACCGACCTCCTTAATGTTAAAAAAAATTTATTACTTTTATTCCACCGTCCATGATCGCTCGAACCAAGATCCATGTTGTTAAAAAGATTTTCTTGAAACTCTTTTAAATTGTCGCTATTAGGAAATCGGCCAGCAATACCAGAGATTACGATTTCTTCTTCAGCATCGACGCTGATATACGAGTTCGGTCGATTCATAGTATTTTTATTTTTTCGAAACAGACAAATTCTACAACAAAATGTCATTATTTATTTTTTGAGAAAACAGACATAAATGTAAAATAAAGAAAAAATCAAATACAATTTAATATTACATATACGTACCAATAAGAGGTGGAAGCACCGTGGCAATTGAGACAGTCAAGAGTGAAGTCGACTAAATCATATCTCCGAACCTCTATTTATTGTTTCTGTGTTATATGTATATTCTACTTCTACATACATGATAATGATGGAGCCGATTAAAATGGTAAATATGTAAATAGCTGTCGCTTCCGTTACGATATATAATACTTACCACACAATCATGGAAATTATTGAGGAGTTTGCCAATACGTAGTAACAGAATAAATTCAGAAAGAGAATATCAAAAAATTACTATGTGTTATCATTTTATGTTTGTGAGTATTATTATTGTGTCAGTTTCACATATGTTGTAAAATAATTTAATTAAAAAAATAAAACAAATGTTATTTTAATATCTAATATGTAAGATATAATTATTATTTATTTTATTATACAAAATATCTCCACGTAAGTGTATGAACTAATATATGAACTAATATAGTTAGAACATTCTAAGTTATTGAAAAAAAAAAAATGTTTTTATATATATTTACATCAATTATTTTCAATTTAAATAGAGATATACAAGCTGATAGAATATATGCTGGCAAGCATAAACTACTTATTAAACGAAACTTGCATGCATACACGCACGCATTGTATTTGTCCTAATTTTGATTTTATTCGGATTCCTTTTACTAATTGAATATTCAATATATTAACTCATAAGTTATAGCCTAAATGGAATAAACTAAACTTTAGAACTAATTCGAAGATACGAAGTTACAAATATACGTTTTTTATTCTCGCTTTCTCTGAACTCTGGTGAGTGTGTGACTTTACTTCTCTTTGTCCTGACTGTTATTTCTGTTTTGATCATATCACAAACTATGATTATTATTAATCAAGTTTTACTTAAATTTTTTTGTGGAAAGTTTTACTGCTGATTATTCTTTGATTTTGACTGTTAGCACATCGCCGAAGACGATCGACTCAAAACAGAACCAAAACGTCCAATGTATTATAATTATGTATCTTATTAGTTATTAAAGGTTGATATAACGTTAACTTACGCACTGTTAATCATGTTACATTTCCAAATTTTTTTACTTGCTACTTGTTAATTTTATTATCGAGTTCTTAATTACTTATCTATTTATTTTAATATAAATATATTATAATTATTTTGCATCGTATTCTGCGCATGCCATCGTGTACTGACCTAATACATTAAAATATCCTTGTTCAGATTTTTTTTATAGGAGACACAGTTAATTGTGTATCTTTATTAATTATATTATAAATTTATATACATGCATGTGTAATAAAAAATAATGAAAAATCAAATTTTATTTAGACACATATACATAATTTACGCGTACAATAGGTATATGTATAAGTGAGTATTGATTTTAATTTTAGACATTTAGACAACTTTGGCGTCTTAATTTGACGATGGTTTCTGGTTGTACTTTTAACGCTGAACAAAAATTATATAAGTCTTATAGGGCTAACCACTCTGGTTTTTTAGATATACAGTGTGTTAAAGTTGAGAAAACTTTAGATTAAAAGCGACCACACCGATTTCAATGACCTTGATATATGTTGCCAAGGACATAATTCTAAGTAACTTTTTCTTATAACTTAATCGTCGCTCGTTGCTTATTAAAAAATTATTAACAAAAAAAGTTTGAAAAATATAGCAAGGCGGAAGAGGGACTTACGCGTAAAAAGTTATAAATCCATGTGGCACCTCGTTTCGCGTGGAAAATATATGCGTGAAGCGCGTGGAGGCAGCATAGGTTCAGCTCCCCTGCAGGGGGCTCCACTATTGTTAAAGTAGACACATAATGTGCCTTCAAAGTACATATGCGTCGGCTTTCCACGCGTAAAAAGTTGTAAACCTATGTGGCACCTCGTTTTATATCGACAACATATATCAAAGTTATTGAAATCGGTGAGGAAATCGATCTTAATCTAAAGTTTTGCCAACTTTAACACTGTATATCTCGAAAACCAGAGCGGTTAGCCCTATAAGACCTATATAATTTTTTGTTCAGCGTTAAAAGTACTACCAGAAACCATCGTCAGAAACAGGCGCCAAAGTTATCGAGATTCAACCCTACTTTGCATATAATAATGTATTCACGCATTTACGCATTCACAATATGAATAATATCCCGAGTAATATCCGCTAAACTTTGATATCTGATGCATATGTAAAATCATTGTCAATTGTCAAGCGATGTGAATTCAACAGGAAGAACAACTAACTACGTCAATGTCGTCAATGCATAAATGTCAAGGTAAGTTTGTCTGGAACTTTTCGTCAAGCTTTTGAGTAAAATATTTCTGAAACTTAACCTGCAGCTTTCTGATAATTTAAGAGCATTTTTCTGACATAATGTCGATATAAGCTGTCGATTCCGAGCTGTCTAACCAGTCCGAATGAAATCGGTGCAGTCAATTCCGAGATTTCGATTACGTAAATAGTGATATATTTTGCGTTATAATTTCAATTTTAGTCGTACCAACATATTCAGTAATTTTGTCCCTTAAAAGGTTTTTAGAAAGTCTACATACAATATTATTAAAATTATGCAATGTAAAAGTAAACATTAATATGCATAGATGCGTAATAATTTCTGATGATGCTGGCAAGATAAACCAGAGAGAGTGGAAGAGGAGAAAAAAGGGAAGAAAGAAGGAAGAGGGAGAGGGAGATTGATGGAGCTTTATTAGCCTTCTCTTAGCTATTTTTTACATCAAATGTCTTTACATCAATTCTTCTACATGAGGTATACAATATATTCTTTTAATATATTTATGTTTAAAGTTTAAATTGTTCGATTTTTTCACATTGCTTTCATTCTGTCGGTAAGGCGTTATACATATTTAAATCTTCATAAAACAAACTTTTTTGTCCGTTTTTAGTTCTACGAAATTGTATTGCAATACTCCCGGTCTGTCTTGTTTAAAGGTGGCTGGGGAGGGAGAGAGAAAGAGGAAAGAAGAGAGAGAGAGAGGAGGGAAGGAGAGAGTCAAATGCCAGCTTATTTAAATATTCATGGTTTCAAAATGAATGTATGAATGACAGACCAAAAGAAATAAAAAATCCAATAAAAATAAGTTTTGAAAAAACTTTAGCAGAATATGATATCGCAAAGATTGCAGTGATACAACTGTAGCAAGATGACTTTGATGCAAGAAATCATCATGTTTGAAATAATTTTTGTCCAATAAATTATTGAAATATTTATAATAAATGATACAAAATATACATTTATTGGCAAGAATGTTAATTCCGGGGCTTCTCAATTTGATATGTGTATTTGATAGATCTGCTTTCGCTAAGAAAAAGAATGCCGCAAACCACAATGCGCTACGATGCACAATTTTCGAGGTATCAATTTATATAATCTATCACATAGTATAACAATTAATATACACAGAATTAGCAGTGATCCCTACGGAACTCTAACACCTGCCCCCCCCCCCTCTTCCTTTCACTCACAATAACATTTCTATCATACTACTCTCTTTAAGATATGAATTTTTAAATAATACTTCAATTGTGTGTGTATAAACAGTACACACTTAGGTGGGGGAGGGGCTACTGCCCTCCCCCGCAAGCAGGGGGGGGTAGTGACAAACCTCGGTTCGCGTAAAAAGTATATGCGTGGAGGCAGTAGGTTCCGCTCCCCTGCGGGGGGCTCTACAATTATATTAAACTAGACACATAGTGTGCCTTCAAAGTTCATGTGTAGGCTTTCCTCGCGTGAAAAGTTGTAATCCCATGTGGCACCTCGTTTTATATCGACAACATATATCAAGGTCATTGAAATCGGTCAGGTCGCCTGTAAATTGCAAACCCATGTAATACCGTACATGGGCTATTAATGGGCTATTATACATTTAAAAATCGATATGTCGAAAACTATATGCATCGTAGCGCATTGTGATTTGCGGCATTCTTTTTCTCAGTGAAAGATCTATCAAACACACCTATCAAATTGAAGGGCCCCAGAAAAAACATTATCTCCCATTTATTTTATAAACATTTATAAATTATTTAATATTATTAAGTACGTTTAAAAATTAGTATGCAAATGCGATGTAAAAGAGTAAAAGACATATAAAAGCATAAGAAAATAGTTTTAAGAGAATAGATTAAGATATTAAAAAGAAAATAATTTATAAATACTGAAAGAAACGGAAGGTTTAGTAATTCTAGGAAGCAACAATAAAAAAATTATTATTACTCTCTCTTACTATAATATTGTTTCGTGGGTGCCGCTCGGTACGCTTTTCGATAACTCTGAGCTGAAACAAGCAGTCATACCGAGAAGTCGTGAAGCGTTTCCTTGACAACGGGCTGCTGTTTAACAACTGAGCCTTTTTAGAAAAAAACTCGGCTTTTAAACTGTTCTGACGTGTTTTCTGGTTGTTCCCTTCTAATAAAGAGATTCGATCGTTAATAAACGTGTTGTTATTTTCATGGGAGTGCAAGTGAGTGCGTGAGAGCCATCCGAGGAGTCACGGACTCAACGTCGGCCTGGGCGCAACATTTTGGGGACTCGTCTGGGATCGCACGGATCGCACGGATCGTAAAGATCGGACGGATCTGCAGAAAGCGGACGAGTGAAGACACGATGACGAGCACCGAGCCCACGACAACTCCTTCGACGAGAAAGAGAGCGCGGACAGAGACGCCGGGACCGAGGAGATACCCCGAGCTAGTCCAAGTGCCCCACAGCTCACGTCAGAGGCAAAGATCTTGCAAGCCATGGTGCAGGAGATGCGGCTGATGCGTAAGGAGCACGCGGCGTTGTTGCGGCAGCGGGAAGCGGAGCCACACCATCGAGAACTCCCACAGCTAAGTCTATCCAATAATAAAGCTTTTGGGGATTCGGGGTCGCGAATCGCGTTTGCGGAAGTGTACCGGGGAAGGGAAGACCCGCGTCTCAAAGCGGAGTATGTAAAATTAAAGCTCGATACGTACGATGGAACGATTCCGTTGTGAGAGTTTTTCTCGCAATTTTAGTTAATTGCCCGAGCAAATAAGTAAAGTGGTGCGTCGAAAACGGCTATATTAGTGTAAGTATATGTATTCTGTTGGTGATCTCAGGGCGAAAGAAG